AATTATTATAATTTGGAGCAATTAAAAATGGCGTACTTTTAAGAAAAACTGCATAATAATTTTATAAATTTAAGAAAACTCGCAGAAAAGATAAATAATAAATTATAAGTATAAATAAATTTCAGGAAAGATGTAAAAATATTATAACTTTCATCAATTTTAGAAAAATTCGCAGACAGCAAAAAATCAATTTCAATCAAACGGAATAAATGCCATAAAATTGGCATAGATTAAAAAAACAGTAATTTTCATTCTGAACGACAAACTTATTATAAAAATGGCATGAATCAACTTAATGGCATAAAATTAATTAAAATAGTATAAATTTGTAAAGAATGGCATAAATATTAAAAAGTGGTTAGAAAAATGCCACGAGTCAAATAAAAATGACATCAATTTAATGGCATACATTCCATAAAAATAGTATGAATTCATAAAGAATGGCATGGATTTTACAAAGTAGTCAGAAAAATGACTTAGATCACATAAACTGGCATCAATGACAAGAACATTTTCCTGAAAATGATATGAATTTAGAAGAATGGCATGAGTTCTATAAAGTATCCAGAAAAATGGCATGTATTTAAAATGCATATTATAAAATTCATAAAAATGATACAAAAACAAAAATTGCATGAATTCTACAAAGTGGTCATCAAAATGGCATGAATCTAATAAAATTCAATCTATTTAATGGCATAAAATTCATTAAAATTGTATGAATTCATGAATATTAGCATGAATTTTACAGAGTAGTCAGCAAAATGGCATAAATCTAATCTAAAAATGCCATCAATGAAATTCATAAAAATTGTATAAATTTATAAAGTATGACAGGAATTCTGCAAAGTAGTTAGCATAAATCACTATAAAATAGCATTGTATAGAATCCATAAAATTAGTACAAAAACAGAGAATTTATAAAAAATGGCATGAATTCTACAAAGTGGTCGGCAAAATGGCATGAATCATGAAAAGTTTGTCATAAATTTTATAAAAATAGTATGAAATTTTAAAGAATGGCATAAGTTTTACAAAGTAGTCAGCAAAATGGCATGGAATGGCAAAAATATCATAAATATAGTATAAATTCATAAAGAATGATATAAATATTACAAAGTGCTTAGAAAAATGGCATGAGTCAAATAAAAATGCCATCAAATTAGTAAAAGTAATATCATATAATGAAGAATGGCATAAATTTTACAACAAAGTCAGAAAAATGACATAATAAAAATGGCATCAATTGCATGAAATAGTATGAATTTAGAAAAAATGGCATAAATTTTACAAAGTAGTCGAAATATGCCATCAATTTAATGGCATAAAACTCACAAAAGTAGTATGTATTTATGGAGAATGGCAAAAATATTGAAAAGTGGTCAGAAAAATGACATGAATCACTTTAAATCAATTAAATGACATACAGTTCATAAAAATAGTATGAAGCTCTAAAGAATGGCATAAATTTTACAAAGTAGTCAGCAAAATAGCATGATTCATAAAAAGTTTGTCGTAAATTTTATCAAAATAGTATGAATTTATCCACCACAATGAAGAATGGCATAAATTTTACAAAGTAGTCAGCAAAATGGCATAAAGTTTATCAAGTTAATAGCATAAATTTTATGAAAAGCATTGTTTTTTTTTTAAAAAAGTATAAATTTAGAAAAAGAGTATCCTTGCGTTTTTCAAATTACAGTCTTAAATACAATTCTAGGCACAAAATTAACGCCTTACAGCAACCTAGTATACTTCAATAACATTTATTCTAAATATTTATATCTTTCTAGTACTATATTATATAAAATTCAAGTATCCTCCGCACACTTAACACGTTTTTTATCATCTTGAGCAATTCAAGGCAATTCCCTCGTCGGCCTCTCGTCCTCTTTCAATTCGCCACTTGGCTTTGCTTTTGCTTTTCCTTTGGCTTTTTGGCCAGATGCCAGATGATGTCGGCGAATTCCATGAAATTCTGACAAACTATTATTGTCAGACTCACCACTGTGGCAATAGAATTGCCGACAATAGACCAGAGGTGTCGTTAAACAATTTCGCCGATCGTAAACACAGCACTGGGATGGATTGGATTGAAGCCGAAACGAGTTCATGACAACATTCGATAGATATAAACTTGTCTCATAAAACACCTAGTAAAAATTAATTCACCTTATATAAATTATTCAAAGCTAGTTTATTATTTACACTCGTCATCTTTCTTTAGGACGAAATGCCACTTACGCCTAATTTATGATGAGAGAATTGTTAACCGAGAATAACCCTTTATTAAAGTTATGAATGCAAAGTATTCATATAAAACAGTTTGCAAATATTATTTTGAGAATGTCTGATCGCCCTGTAGCGACTAAGTTATTACATTGATTTCTTATTGATTCCATCAATTATTTAGAGTACATGTAACTTATCATATGCCACTTACACCTAGTTTAGAAGAAGAGAGAATATTTCTCCTAAAATAGGTCTATCAATCATGTAATTTACCATATGACATTTACACCTAGTTTAGATAAGAGATAATATGGTTTTCCGAGAATAGTCCTCTATTAATTTTAATTTTTTTTCCAGTCAACTTTTTCCGAATCCTTTATTACAGTTCGCAGCCAAAAAATAAAAATGATAAATAAAAATGAGAGATAAAAATAAAAGTAAAGAGCGAGCGAAAACGGAAAAATTGCGAAACATCATAAAAAACAAATTTGTACCGGTAAATCAACGACATGATTAGACCGAGAGCTAGGGGAGAGCTAGGGGAGAGCTTGAAAAATAAATAAATAAATAAAAATAAAAGATAGAAAGTTCACAAAAATGGCATGAAATTTTTAAACATGACACTTAGTTCACCAAAATGGCATAGTATTTTTAAGTTGCCAGAGATCATTAAAATGACATAGAATTTTTAAGATTGATGTTTAGTTCATAAAAATGCATAAAATGCATATATTTGAAACAGTGAATTAATAAAATCGATATAAAGTTTACTAAACTGAAATTAAATTCACAAAAATGGTATAAAATACTTCAAAATGTCACAAAATTTACAAAAATGGCATATAATTCATAAAAATGGCACAAAATTCACAAAATTGGCATAAAATTCGTTAAAATGGCACGAGGTTTACAAAAATGGGATGAAATTCGTAAAATGGCATGAAATTCGTAAAATGGCATAAAATTTGTAAAATGGCGCAAAATTCACAAAAATGGCGTAAAATTCACAAAATTCTTAAAAACTGCACAAAATTGGTACAAAATTCGTAAAAATTTACAGATAAAATTTACAGAAATAGCACTGAATTCACAAAAATTGCATAAAATTTGTAAAAATGGCGCAAAATTCACAAAAATTGGACAAAATCCATAAAAATAACATTAAATTCAAGAAAACTGCATGCAATTTGAAAAAATAGCATAAAATTAGTAAAAATGGCACAAAGTTCACAAAAATGGCACGAAATTCACAAAAATGACATTAAATTTGTAAAAATTGCACGAAATTTACAAAAATGATATAAAGTGTGTAAAAATGGCACAATATTTACAAAAAATTCGTAAAAGTGACACGAAATTCACAAAAATTCATACAAATGGCATGGAATATAAAAAAATGTCACGAAATTCATAAAAATAGCATGAAATTTGTAAAAATGTTACAAAATTCACAAAAATGGCCTAAAATTAACAAGAAATTTACAGGATCGGCATAAAATTTATAAAGCTCATTAAAATCGCATAAAATTTATATGAATAGCATAAGGTTTACAAATGTGTTATAAAATTCAAAAACTAGAAAACAAGAATTTATTCCAAGCTCATAAAATTGTTACAAATGTAGGAAACTGTTTTCGGTGATTCGCAGAACAGTTTCCTTTGAAAAAATATACATTAATAAATACTATTCTTATTATTATAATCATTATTATTATAAGTATTTATTTTAAACATCTTAATAATAATACATTTGTATTAGGATTAAATTAATCGTTTCTTTTAATTTGAAAAAATATTAATTCATTATAGAATTATCAATTAAACTAACTGGGTTAGTAATATTTGCAATTTTTAGAAAGTGTTTTTGTTTTAATTCATTAATTAAGTTTGAAATCTAAATAAACTTTAGTGTAATTGACAAGCGGTGTAAATTTGACACCAGCCGCCCGTCTATTTGTTGTGACAATGTATGGCGAATTCAGAGTAATAAAAAAGTTTATATGGAAATATGTATATATATATATATATATATATATATATATATATACATATATGAATGTATATTTATTATTTGTGCAGGCGGAGGAGCAGCAATAAAAAATATTTTTTGCTCTCTCCTTGATAGATTATTATTGCTCTGAGAACGAAAACGCACATATTTGTCACGATTTAAATTTGTTCTTTGAAAACATCCCATAATAAATTTTTATACTTGTAAAAAAACTTAGTGGTGTAAAAATCGTTCATACTACTTTTGTAGTAAAAAAAGCATTTGTTATTCACTGGCTGATTTTATCCATGTGTCTATTACAAATGAATCGACTCGACTGTTTTGCCAAGATTTGAGAGTGGTCCTTTGATGGTCGGTTAGTTGGTTAGTAAGAGAGTTAGTTTGTTTGTTTGCTGGCGGTGCTATTCAACCGCCAATCGTAAATTTCGACACAGAGATCAAAGAACAAGACTATAAACACACATTGTGTGTGTATGTGTGTGTTTGGCGGTGTTCTAGTTATCATAAGAGATGTACTGTATATTCATTGGCACAAGATCAGAATTTGGAAGAAATTTTAAGGAAAAGAGAAGGATAGACAGAGAGAGACAGAGACAGAGAGACAGAGAGAGGGAGAGACAGAGACAGAGAGAGACAAAAGACAGAGAACAAACCTGACCACGCTTGACTGTGGCTCTATTAGAAATTCACTCATAAAATGGCCCAAAGTTCATGAAGATGGCACAAAATTGATATTAAGTTAAAAAAATAATATAAAATGACACAAGATTCACGGAATTTAAAAGAAATTTTAAGAAAAAGAAAGAGACAGAGAGAGATGGAAAGACGGAGAGAGGGTCTGACAGATAGAGAAAGAGAGAGAGACAGAGAGAAAGAGTGACGGAAAGAAAGAGATAGAATGACATGTAGCAAACCCGGCCACTGTTAAAAAGACACTCTTTATCTTTCCAAAATTTTATCAACATATTCTTGAAACTAGCTGTAAGTGGAATTCTGTCTTAAGGCAATTAGAGCATCGTGCCTTAAGGCAAATTGCTGGAACTTCCCGTACCAAAAAATATTATTTTTTTTTGAAAAAAATTTAATTAAAAAAAAATAGATTTGAGAAACTACAAATTTGACAAAAAATTACTTTTTTTTTGAAAAAAAAAATTTATATGAAAAAAAAATTTTTTTTTGAAAAAAAATTTTTTTTTTGGATACAAAAAATTTTTTTGAAAAAAATGTTTTCTTCATTTTGACATATTGTGGAAGATCTGAACTTTCTTTTCAAAGCAATCAATCGTACTGCTTTAACTGCATAGGGACAAAATATAAAGCGCGTAAGCGCCGCGTCGCTGTCTAACGCATAAGCATTGGTACGGAACCCATAGGAATGTTAACAAAATGTATACTTATTGATAAAATCTCTATAAAATATCTGATAATTTGATGTGCATATGTCTAATGATAATTTTTAACCGCCGAACGGCATTATTTTTTACTTTTTTCATTAGATCTCCGAAACCGCTAGACCTACCTCCATGAAAATTTGATCAATTCTACATCTTGTCAATACAAGTAAAATGTTTTTTGAATTATTAAAATCGGACGCTCCGTTCTCTTAAAAACTGAGTTACCGTTTTCGGCACTTTTTGCCCCGTATCTCCGGAACGGCTAGATCTGCCTTTGCCAAAAACTAATCAGCACGTCTCCTTATCAATACGAATCGAATGTTTTTTGAATTATTCAAATCGGTTGACCCGTGTTCCCGAAATCGTCGACGAAAATTTGTATCCGCACATACATACACACACATACACACACACACACACACACACACACACACACACATACATCCATTTTTTCTAAGGTATGCCAAAATGTTCAGAAACCTCTGAAACGTAAAGATATATAAAAATTTTCATTTTCGATTTTTTTGCGATTACTATAACTTGCCCTACGGGAAGTTAACAATTTACAAAAATGACAAAGTTCATAAAAATTAGAACAGAATTTAGAAAAATTCTATATAATTCAGAAAAATGGCCTGCGATTGATAATATAGTACCCATTTTCAATAAAAAAAGGCATACAACTTTAAGAATTCCTAAAGTAGTAACACAGTATATAAAAATGGCATAATATTGAAACAAAAGGCTAGAGTACAGAAAAATGGCTTGAAATTTCATAAAAATATGACTACATTTAAAGAAAATGGCATAAAGTTCTTAAAAATGGTATAAAAATCTTAAAGATGGTTATAATCAAATTTTATAAAAGTATTCCGGAATATAAAACTAATTTCAGACAAAAGGCATACAATATATGATAAAATTCATACTTGGCATAATATTAATATAAAATAGCACAAAAATATGGAAAATGATATGGAAAATATCAAAAACTATACTAACTACTACTCTTATAAACATTACAAAATGTGAATGAAATTCAAAGAAATTGAATTAATAGAAATAGAAACAAAGTGCACAAAAAAGGCAGAAATTTTACCAAAATGGCATATAATTTTTAAAAATTTATTACTATTAGTATCTGTAAAAAGACAATGTTTAGTTTTTTATTTTTTATATAACTTTGGTCGGAGTGCGAACTATCTTAAAGTTAATATTAAGAGCTAAAACTTTCAGAGAATTTTCTTTGATCAATTTAGAAGCATTTAAGAAATTCGAAAATATCCATATTGAGAACCACCCTTATATATATGTATATATATATATATATATATATATATATATTTACACCTATTTTTCCTTCACCTTTCCACTTCAAAAGAAAATCACAACCACAAAAAATCCCAAAGAATTCTTTTTTCTCCATAACGCTTATTTTAATCCGAAAGAGAATTCTCTCCCATTATTTTCCCTCAACAATAACAACCGTAAAAAGAAAATATTAGTGAAAATATGTTTTTTGCGAAAAAACACAACAATAACTACATAGTTCCTTACAGAAATAGAAAGAAAGAAAGTTTCAAGAAAAGAAATTTTCCTCTGAAGAAAATATAATAATAAGATTCCTTCTCCTGGTTTCGAATTACTCGACTCCAAGATAAATATAAATATGTTGGAAATTGTAGAAATATTTATTTGTTTATTTATTTTGTATATATTGTATAATGGTATTATGTTTAATGCGGTGGAAATGCGAAACGATTTGTGTTTTATAATGGAATCGGACACCAGAGTATTATTTTTCTAGTATTTTGCTTTTTAGTTTTGTAAAACTATTACTTCTGGGTAGGAAAAACATCAGGTGTTATGTAATCATTTGTTGTAAATTTAAAAAGCAATTTATATATTTTTAATTCATTTTTTCAAACGTTTCAAAATATTTATGCTATTGTTAAATTGCAACCTAACGGTTGTCCTATCTATTTTTGAAAATTTTTATCATCAGTTTTAAAATAAAAGTGAGATAAATTTCATAAGAAGTTTATAAAATTTATAAAACAGAATCAAATTTGAATTTGATATATGACATACTTTTCATAAAAGAAGCTTATACTTAATGAAATTCAGAAATTTCACAGAAAGACAAACTTCACTAATAAAAGCATAAAAAATGTGTAAGTTAAGAAATAAAATAAAAACCCTGAAATTGATGGTTTCATAAAAATTGGCTTAAATTTAACAAATGGCATAAATTTCATAAAATGGTATAATTTTTAACAAACACACAATTTTTATATAAAAAACTTACAAATCAAGAAAAGGCATTTATATGGATTTGATAAAAAATAATTAATATTAAGAATTCTGGCTTAAATTCTATAAATGGAATAAAATTCATAAAATAGAATTAATTTCTCAAGAACACAAATTTCATATAAAAATTTTACAAATCAAGAATAGACATTTATATGGATTTGATAAAAATTAGTTAATATTAAGGATTTTGGCTTAAATTCCATAAATAACATGAATTTCATAAAATGATATTAATTTATAAAAAACACAAATTTTATATAAAAAACTTACAAATCAAGAAAGACCTTTATATGGATTTGATAAAAATTATATATATATATATATATATATATATATATATATATACAATATATTTACAACTATCCTACATAGATATTAAGTAAATCTTTTGGCAATTGATAAAAATTAATTAACATTAAGAATTTTGGCTTAAATTCCATAAATGGCATAAATTTCATAAAATGATATATAAAATTTTTACAAGGCCACACAACTCAAATTTCATAAAATTCCTATGAATTCATATAGTCCAAAATAATGATGAAATCATGAAAAAACATAAAAAATAAAATTTATAATTAGTAAATAAATTACAAATGACTTCATTTTTATCATTGGCATACATTTAAAAAATTATATCGATACTTTCATTGAAATGTCATAATATTCAAAAATTTTATCATAAATTTTAATAAAAAGTTGCAAAATAATCCTGAATAAATAATGATAATGAAGTAAGGATTTAAAAAAAATGAAATAAATAAATGACTTAAATTTTATAACTCTTATTTATTTAAATTTATGTTATTATTTATCATTTTTGCTAGATGTTAATTATATTTAACAGTTGTAATAAATATTGTAATTTAAAAAAATGTAAATGGAGAAAATTCAATAAAAAGACAAATTTCACGAAATTTAAAAAAGTCAAAAATATAGCATGAAAAACATAAAAATTGCATCTAATTCAAAACAATAAATCAAATTAGCATAAAATTTCGTATACGTTCCATAAAAATTGCATAAATTTAACAAAACTTATGAATTTAATCAAAATGACAAAAAAATCATGAATATTACATATTGCTCGAAGAAATAAATAAAATTTTGAAAATTGACTAAAATTTCATAAATGGCACACGTTTCATAAAAATGACTAAAAATTCATAAAAATTACATATAAAAAAATTGGTATAAAAATCGTGAAATGTGGAATTTCTAAAAAATATGATTAGATTATATTTCAATAATTAAGCATGAATCTAATCTAATCTAATATCTAAATAAAAATCTAATAAAAATAGTACGAATTCAATGATTTTAATATGAAATTAATCAAAATTATTTAGTTAGTGCCACTGATAATGCACAACAATGACATAAAATCCTTGATAGGACAAAACTAAATACATTTTATAAAATTAGCAGAATACTTTAAAGAAATTACTTATTGTTAATTCTAAGTTAAAATTTACAGTAGAAATAAAAAAAATTAAATTTCTCACGTCAAAAACATTTTCATCCTCATTTGTCAATCAACAGCAGAAGTTCGTCTTTAGAAATTAACACGTATTTAGTCATGTGTAAAAGTCGAAGGGAAAAGGAAAAAATAAATTCTTTTATATATACGTGTATATATATATATATATATATATATATATATATATATATATATATATATATATATACATACATATATATAATTAGACGGATGCCATTAGATGCGGTTTAAAAATAAAATGCTAAGGCACCCTCCTTAGGATGAAATGGAATCACCATTAGAGAGAGATTATTTTTAGATTTTGATATTTATTTGTTATGTTTTAAGTAAATGTTACACGAAAATGGATTTGTAAACAAATAGAAATTGAGATTCTTCATTTAGGGAAATGTAAATTGAAATTTAGATTTATTTGATTCTTAATTTTAATTTTATGGAAATGGATGGAAAGTATAATTAGATGCTAAAAGTTGGGATAGAGAAATAGAATGACAAATATTTGAAAAAAACCAATAATGCTATTTTTTTAGAATAATAAATTTTATTTTTAATAAGTGATAAGCACCCAAGAACATACGAAACTAGTAGTGTATAGCATCGTGCCTTATGGTAAATTGCTGGAACT